GTCGCAAAAAAGCGGAAGGTTGGGCAAATGAGTACTGTATGACCATATTTCTCCAACGAATGCTGACAATGGACGTTAGATAAACACGCATTGTTTGCGATAGGAAGCTTATCAATTGCCCTCATTGAACTGTTATTTAGATATTTGAAATAAGTTGATATTTTGATACAAATTTGACAAGGAGTTATCTTGCCAAAATTTGGTGATTATTTTTCCCTTCAATTTAATCAGTATTTATCATGCCATCCATATATTGGTACTTATTTTTTCCCTCCAAATGTTAAATTTTAATGGTATTTGAAGTTTGAATTTGGCACTTTTTTTATATCAAATTTTGGCAATTATTTTTTTCAACCAAATTTTAGGATATATAATTGTATTGTTTGAAAACTTTTATACATATTCTGTGATGAACTTCAGGGTTAGCCATTTGGAGAACCTACAGATTAATTTTACAAACAATTGAATACAATCATATTTTTATGCATTTTGGTCAAATTTGGTATTACAACTTCTGCCATTTATGTAGTACTGTTAACATATATTTTTGGTTATAACTTGTCTCAAATAAACTTCACTGATTGACTAAAATCATTTTATCACCATATTAGACCTTTAATAATAACTATTACACCTTCAAATTGATTCCTCCCAATCAGTACCTGGTATCTATGAACAAGATCAAGATTTGTAATAAACCATTTTCCATTCACTGTGAAAAGCAAAACAAACAATATCATAAAAACATGGGCATTAGCTCTGAAAAAAAAAAATCAAAGCTCAACATTTTGTGACAAACATTTGGTCTGCGCCTTTCACATAATACCTGAGATTTTGTAGTGAACAGAAAACCACACACGTATATTGTTACACTGCGTTTTCTTGAAATATTTTGTGCCCACAAATATTGACAACTTGTTTTTCTCCTCCAGCTTCCTTAATTCAAACACAAGAAAAAAATACTGTAAAATACTTTATTTTCACTTGGAATTAATTTTCGCTATTTTCGCTAAAGGAATGATGTAGTGAAAATAAAATCCTGCGAATATACATTTTTCCTATATTTCACATTAAACTCATCAAAAATCAGTGAAAATAAATTCCATACAAAACGCCCAAAAAGCTTTTTCAGCGAAAATTAATTCCAGCGAAAATAAAGTATTCCACAGTACATTTTGCTGAAAATCTCTGATCATGTAACATTATATTGTATGAGCTATTGGTATGGGTGATTATCCCCTGTCATGTGTCAACTTTTCTTTAAACAACTTTTTGAAAAACATTAACTGTACCACGATATTTCATTTATAATTGGTACATATGTTCCTTGGGTGGTCCATGAAATTTAATCATTTCTTGATGATGTATTTTGGTGAAAAATACTATTTTCCACTTCTTTTTGAAAACTACCTTGGGTGGACCTTTATTAAATTTTCATGTTTTTTTGTCATTTTTGATAACTGCTGGTTTGATTGATTTGGTATTTGGTATATACGAGGGGCGTTCAATAAGTAATGCCCCTGACCCATTTCAAATAGCAGGAAATTAATGAAACTTGGCACAGTTATTAGTCGTTCTCTACATAGGAACCACCCCGGGTTATGCATTTCTCCCATCGTTTGATGCAGCTCTGGACACCGTTTTTGTAGAACACCCTTGGTTGGTCCTCCAACCACGTCGTAACTTCAGAAATCAAGGCTGCATCATCTGGGAAACGCTTTCCTTTCAAAACAACTTCATGGCCGAGAAGAGATGAAAGTCAAAGGGTGCAAGGTCAGGAGAGTAAGGGGGATGGGGAGAATTTCATAGCCACACACCCGTGCTTCTGATCTGGCGACATGCGAGTTGTGGACCGGAGCGTTGTCCTGCAGGAGGAGGATAGCTTTGCTAATCTTGCCTCGCCTCTTGATTTTGATAGCTTCTCTTAATTTCATCAAAAGTGAAGCGTAATAAGCTCCTGTAATTGTGGTAACCTTTGCCAGGAAATCTGTCATCACGACTCCGTCCTGGTACCAGAAGACTGTGAGCATGACCTTGCCAGCAGAGAGCTGCACACTTGCCTTGTTTGGAGGTGGTGAGTCCAAGTGCTTCCACTGCATTGACTGGGCATTGGTCTCTGGATCATAGTGATGGACCCAAGTTTCATCCTGTGTAATCAGTCTTTTGAAAAACTTTGACTAATCTTCTTGGCACATCTCCAAATTCATTCTTGAGCACTCGACGCGTTTTTGCTTCTGGAAAGGTGTGAGAAACCCGGGAATCCATCTGGCAGACACCTTATGCATATAAAAATGGTCATGAATGATAGTTTCCACAGAACAGTAATGGCGAACAGTAAAGCGTCGATCTTCCAAAATGGCTGTCTCAACTTGATGGACAGATGCCTCATCAATGGCAGAAGAGGGATGACCAGGTCTGGGAGCTGTTTCCACAGACTTTCAGCCATGTTTGAATTCACAATGCCAGCGTTTTCACAAGGACATATGATGGGGCATCATCACCATAAGTTTCTTTCATTTCATCAAAAGTCTCCTTTGGTGTGCGTCCTTTCAAATACAAAAAACGGATCACTGCACGACACTCAATTGGCTACATTCCTCCCCTGACTCAGTTCAAACACCTGTAAATCAGAAACCACAATTATTTCAGAGCTGTTCTTTGCAACATAACCTATAGAGATGTAAATCATTACACATGCAAAATTTCATCTAGATCAGACAACTGGAAGTGGGTCAGGGGCATTATTTATTGAACGTCCCTCGTATGTACATGTAAACCTTTATTAGATTAGTTCATTTCATGGCATAAGGGAGAAGACTACTAATTCAGACATACAACTTAAATCTTGAACTTAGGTATTTGAATGAAAAATTATGTCTCATAGACATTTTTGTGCACCTTGGAGTTAGTGTGAAAAGATGATTCAAGATAAATTGTTTTTTGATGTGCAATGTTTCATAGTTAATGAATAAACTTTAGTTTATACTACATAATTATATTGTGCTTCATAATTTTATTACCATGACCACCATCAGTCTTTGTATTCCTGAATCAACCTTGGGCCCTATCAAAACAATTGTTGAGTGAATACTACATGTTGTTGGGGAAGAGACACCAAACACCTTCTTAAAAATTTCAACCAGTATCATCTAGCTAGCAAGAATTTTCTATAACCATTTATGACTATCAGCTAGATCTAACAGCAGTTAGATATATATCCATTTATAACTACCAGGTAGATCTAAGTCAAGTGTATAGTTAGAAAACCAGTTATCTATAACTGTCAGCTAGATCTAACAGCAGTTAGATATATAGCCATTTATGACTATCAGCTAGATCTAACAGCAGTTAGATATATAGCCATTTATAACTACCAGGTAGATTTAAGTCAAGTGTATAGTTAGAAAACCAGTCATCACCGGTGATAAAAAAATATTTTTTCCCGGATATATCCAGATATATATCCATTTATAACTATCAGCTAGATCTAACAGCAGTTAGATATATACCCATTTATAACTACCAGGTAGATTTAAGTCAAGTGTATAGTTAGAAAACCAGTTATCTATAACTG